GGTTCATTAGTGACAGTTTCATTGTGGGGTATTTGATCATATATTTATTGTTCATGTAAGTTGTCAAATTGTTCAAAAACTGTAGGAATAACAACTTGAGAAGAAATTTTGGGTAAAGGAACTTGAACCCTAATTTCTTGGATCTCCACTTTATGTGGTTCCAAACTCCACTAACTTCACCATTTTCAATGAACTTGGCGTTTCCAGCTTCAATAATCAGGACAATAAAATATATACCCTTTAGATTTTTCTAGATAACCAATGAAGAAACCACTGGTTGTTATTGAGTCCAGTTTCTTTTCATGTGGATTATAAAACCTTATTTTTGTTGGGCAACCCCAAACACATAGATGCCTTAAACTAGGTTTCCTTCCTGTCCACAGTTCAAAAGGAGTCTTTGGAACTGTCTTACTAGGAATCATGTTTAACAAATATGCAGCGGTTGTTTAAAATCATGTTTAACAAATATGCAGCGGTTTTTAAAGCATGCATCCACAATAATGAGGGTAAAGAAGAATTATTCATCATGCTCCTAATCATTTCCATTAGAGTAAGATTTCACCTTTCAGCAACATCATTTGTTGTGGTGTTCCTGACATAATGTATTGAGCACATATGTCATTAGTTTGAAGGAATTTAGCAAATGAACATTGACATTGTCCAGATTCATTATAAGTTCCATAATATTTACCCCTTCTATCAGACCTGATAATTTTCACTTTTCTGTCTAATTGTCTCTCAACCTCAGTTATATGGTGATAAAATATTTCTCTCCACTAAAAGATGGAACATCAAAAAGTCCACAAATATTAGTGTGTACAATTTCAAGGAGTTGTGTACTTCTTGTGACTACTTTCTTAAGTGTGTGATTTATGTGTTTTCCTTTAATACAATTAACACAGATGCCAAGATTAGTAAAATCCAATTCATTAAGGATTTCATTTTTTACTAATCTTTCAATTCTTTCTTTGGATATATGACCCAAAAGTTTATGCTACAAATAAGCTGAACTTTCATTCATAAAACCATGTTTAGTACCAATATTATGATGCAAAGTCATGAGAGTCTCAGTGAAAAGGTTATCAAGTTTAAGCTTATATGGGTCATCACAAAGAATACCATAACCTATGAGATGATTGTGTTCAAACAAACTGAAACAACCATTTCCAAATTTAAAGGAGTATCTAATAAAATCAAGTTTAGACAATGAAATTAAATTATGAGAAACAAAAGGGACATAAAGTGTTTGAAAAGGTCAAAATGATGTCCAGTATCTAAAATCAACCGATAGGTTCCAATAGCTTTAACTGGAGCTTTAACTCGATTTTTGATGAAGACAAACTTTTCATTTTGGTTTATGATTTGGGTTGTAAGGAATCTCTGCATCGTATTAGAAACACGAGTGGTACAACCAGAATCAATCCACCAATTATTATAAGGAATTTCTACCAAATTTGATTTGAAACATACAGAAACACAACGTTTACCTTTCTTTTCGAACAAGTTTTTGCGTTTTTGACACTTATTTTGATAGTGTCCAGGCTTTCTGCAAAATTGACACTTAATTCCTTTATGTTCCTCTTTGTCAATTGGGGCAGACGACACATTAATCTTTAGTGGTCCTTGCTTGCCCTTCCCATTCTTCTTTCCAGGTTTCTTTACAGCTCTTCTTTGATGACCCATGAGATTAATGGAGTGATTTGTTCCTTTCTTAAGGCTTTGCTTCCTCTTGAATAAGCATACATTGTAGTTCATTCACATTTCACTTATCTTTCATAGTGTTGTAGTTCATGTGAACAGGAGGCAAGGAAGAAGGCAAGGAGTTAATGATAAATTGCACAAGGAAATTTTCATTCACTTATATTCTCAGGGTCTTAAGTCTTGCTGCTATGTTAATCATTTCAACGACATGCTCATGCATAGTACGAGAACCATCAAATTTCATTTTGGTTAATGTACTCAATAGTGTCCCAGCAAGAGACTTATCAGTAGAGTCAGACTAAGAACAATTCTCAGTAAATTTCATAAATTTCTTGGCACTTTCAGTGTTAGAAAATGTACAATTTATGTTGTTTGCTACAGTCAGTTGAAAATGTACAATTTATGTTGTTTGCTACAGTCATTGACATAAACATTAAGCTTAATCTTTTCGATTTTTTCTAAGCTTTATAGAAAGGTATTTGCTCGACACTGCTAGATCAATAAGAGCAGAAGGTTTCTCAATTGTGAGTGTCAAATCAAGATCCAGAACACCAAGGTGAAACTGGGCTTGCTCACTCCATTCAGAGAAATTAAGCTCATTGAAATTTTGAACAGATGTAGCTTGCGAATGAAGAGAAATAGGAGTAGTTACTGCAAATAAATAAAATATGCTCGGACATTAATGCTTCAAACATTAAACTTACATAGATATTCATATAAAATCAGATTAAAATAGTAATCATAATAATAATAGTGTATTGAAATTTTCTTTGGGTGATATAACAATACGCAATAATAATCATAATTGATGGTTTACTTAAATTTAATATAATTGGTAATTGTTTATACTTAAATTAGACATGTCTATTATCTTTGGATATATAAACATATCTTAACTAAGTATATAAATATACTACAATTATATTCAAAGATTATACAACAAATGATCAACCTTTGGGCAATCTAAAAAAAAAATTATAATCAATGAACTTTAATATTTTTGTAATGAAATATTAAATTATTTCATAACAAACATCACATGCTTATGAGTAATTGAATTTATTTAATTTAGCGTCTATTAAACTTATTAATTTGGTCACTTTGGTGACTAACAAATTAAACATAATACAGACATTAAATAAATAATAATTTCAATCACATCAATTTATTTTAATTTTATTGATCTAATTCAAGATCTAATTCACAGCAAAATTTTATTACAATTAACATAAATAAAATTATATGAAAAATCATAAATTTTGTAATCAAGTTTTTGATATCACATGTTAGAAATTCATGTTTGAACTTTATGACACAAATTTTAAAAAAATACATAATAGCCAAGTTCTTTTAAATTTATGATTTTTACATATCTATAATAAAGTAAAGCATACATGTATTCATGATGAAGAAATTTTAATTTGAAAAAAATTGATCTTGAAGAGATGGAGTTTCTCTCTCTAATCCCTTGAAACTTTTTGTACTTTCCGATGAAGGGAAATGTACGAGGTGTGTTAGGAAGAAAGATGACTCATTCTCTAATTCATGCTCTATTTAACCACCCTCTATCAAGGGGGTTACAAACCAATATGATTTATGATAATTTAATAAATTAATTAATTAATTATTATTATTATTAAAATCAATGACATAAGTTATGAGTTAAGATAATTAATAACTTAAGTTATCATGAGTTACAAAAAAAATATCATAAGTTATCATAAGCTATGACATAAGTTATGAGTTAAGAAAATTAATAATTTAAGTTATCAAAATAAATGTCACGAGTTGTCATAAGTTATGACATAAGTTATGAGTTAGAAAAGTAAATAAAAATTAATAACTTAAGTTATCAAAATAAATATCATATGTTGTCATAAGTTATGACATAAGTTATAAGTTAAAAAAATAAATAACTAAAAAAAATAAATAACTCAAAATAAATATCATAAGTTATCATAATTTATGACATAAGTTATGAGTTAAAAAAAATGAATAACTTAAGTTATTAAAATAAATCTCATAAGTTATTAAAATAAATGTGAGTCATAAATAAAAATATAACAAATTGGGGTCGATTGTCATGCAACTTTTATCATTGTATGTTGATTGAGAGATGATTGGCAGAAGATGGAAGCCATGTGGTGGTTAGGAGATTGTGGTATAGTTATAATAGTTGTGGAATTACAATGGTGCAATGGTGGTCAGATACAACTATCTAAAGATGAGAATTGGGACTTGTTAGTCTGACGATAGTTGTTGTGTGGTAATAATTGGATGATAACATTGGTCATCAATATCAATCATCTAATAGAGCTATAGAGTTTTCCATATCTCTAAATTCTCTCCAATTTCAAGTCTAGCATCAATTCCAAAGTCAAGATCCATTTCATGTGATGGTGGGGCTCTTTATTTTTCTCTTGAGTGGAATTTTAAGTAGACATAAGCAAAATCTTAAAGCACTATATTGGATGGCTATTGTTGATATTATTTATTTATTAATTTTTTTTTTATCAAAGGCTAATTCTCTAGTGTTTAAGTGTTTTACTTTTCTCAAAATTGAATAATATTTGGCTTATTAGACCCTTCTAGTTGAGATGCTTGATTGGAGTAAAACATAAGTTTCAAAAATTGTTTGACCTTTTAATTAATATTTAAAATCTCATTTATAATTGAACCGTTTAATTTGAATTTCTTTTAGCCTTGGATAAGACTACTTCGATGTCATTAGGTTTGTCTCATCAAGGCATTCAGTTGGCTTCCACTTAAAATTAGTGCTCAAAGATTCTTGAATTTAACTTTGAAGCTTTGAATTTTATTACGCATTGAGATACATGCTTAATCAAATAAATTCTTTAATGACATATCAAATATACATTTAGCTTTAAAAGTTATGACTATTTCATTTAATATTTAATCATCAAGTAATAAAAGTCACTACTTAAAATTGATTCTATATTTAATAATATTTATTTAATTATTGATTATGTTATTTAATATCTAAAAACCTGTCATATTTTATTTTTAAATGAGTCATAATTTAGTAACTCAGATATATGCCAACACAAGCAAAAAAAATCATATATTTTAATATACTAACTATTTAATATTTATTTCATTTTTATGCATTGATTTAATTAAAATTTTCAATTTATTTATATTTTAATTTAAATTTATTACTCCAGCTGTAAAGACCATTTCATTTTTGTATTAGTTAGATTTTTAAAATAAAAAGCAAAATGTCATATAATTTCGGGGGCATTTACATAATTTATTCGGCCAATTTTTGTGTACCTTGCAAGAATATCTTCTCGGAGCCCCACCACCATACGAAACCTTGGAGGCTTGCAGTCGATCGGAGGAATCTTTAAGGATGGCATCAGCTTCTGCCGTCTGTGCTTCTTCTCCTCCTTTCCTCTCACCTCGGCCCGAGTCCGTTTGCTCGCTTACACACTCTTCTGATCTCTCTTCACAATGGGTTTCTCCCCGAAATCAAAGGGGACATCTCTCATCTTCCTTTTCCTCTCTCTTTTCTCAAATCCGGCCACTTCTGGAGCTCAATCTGCTACGGATGGGTTTATATCCGCCGTCATATCTGAAAATGGTCTCGTCTTCGTGAAGGATTTCCTCGTTGAACAGGTGATTCAATCGTTGACTCCCATTCGCTTACCGGATATCGAAAAGTCAGTGAAGATTCCTATTTTGGGGGGAGTTCATGTTTCCGCCTCTGATATTACTCTTTACCACATAAACGTCTCTTCTTCAACCGTTAATCCCGGGGATACTGGTATTGTGATCGTTGCTTCCGGTGCTAGTGCTAGTTTGAGCCTGAAGTGGAGCTACATATACAGCTCTTGGATTTTTGTCCCTATTGAGGTCTCTGATGAAGGGAACGCATCTGTTCAGGTGAATTGAGTTTGATAATCTTACTGGTTTTATCTTGCTAGCGGTCTTCTCCGTGTTTTATTGAGTAGCACACTGGATTGTTGTTAAATGTGCCTTATGGGATTGTTCCGCATGATATTTATCTATAGCGTGATTTTTATCTAGTTTAATGTACAAAAGGATCTGATATGTGTGATGATATCAATTTTGGAGTGGCGATTGAGTGGTTAAACAATTAAGTGCATCAAAAATATCATGTATGAAGATTATGTTTTGGGAACTTGAAGTTAATTTAATAAAACTGCATTTGTATTTGCCGTGTTATGTGGATTGGAGTGTTTGAAAGTGAAAAATCTTTAATAGTGAAGATTTTTAACTTAGACATGAGAATGCTGAGGTGGATGTTTGATAGAACTGGGAAGTATAATTATGGAATGATATATTAGAGGGATGTTAGAGTAGCATTTGTTAAAGAAGACATAATCAATCGAGTTGCAACTTTTCAATTTGGTTCTAGGCCAAACTAATATCCGAACTAGGCTTGTTCGGTTACTCCGTTTTTAAAATCACACCCAACTTGAATTAGATTACATATGAATTGGTCCCAAATTGGTTAATTTGATTCAATTTTGGCTCATTTATTAGTCTGAATCGAGTATGTTCGATTTCTCCATTTTTAAATTATACCCGACTTGAATGGGATTAGTTCTAAACTTGATTCAAATTGGTTAATTTTGGTTAAATTTTTGTTCATTTCTTGGATCCAAATTTCTAAGTATAGGTTTCATCTTGATTTTAAAGATTGGCGCTTATCAAGTTAAAGTCATTCATGTTTGATTTTTCTAGATGGTAGCTACATTATTCACATTTGATCTTCAGGATGGTGGCTAACCTTACTGAAGGTTAATTTTCAATATACCGACTATCTAATTCAAGCTTCATTATATTCAAATTTGCTACCTATCATGCATGTTTGTATCATACTATGATTTCCCACAGAAAAAAAGCAACAAGAAGAGTGGGAGATGTGTCACACTAATGGAAAGGGAGAAATTTTTATTGAGAGCTTGCAACGCGAGTTGTCCAAATTTTAAAAAACATTTAAATGTTATTATTTTTTATTCTGAATAGAGAAGAAGCTCTTGGTGATAGGAAGGAATAATTGTTATTTAGACTCATGCAATAAAGGGAAAAGAGAGTAATTAGAGTAACATCTTCTTTGGTATATTTCTCATTTTCACAGCAGGTGATTGCATTCTTTTTTTTGTTTTTTTGTTACTAAAGTAGTATCATTGTTCATATATTCAATTTTGTATAAAATACAATTCTTCATGTACCATTTTCTGAAGTATAGTGGATTATTTAATCTCGAAGCATATATAAATGCAGGATTACTTAAGTTGAACCATGTAAATTTTGTAGTCCTCTTTTGTTGATCTTAATCTCTTAGGCCCACTAAGCTGAAACACACTCTCTTTTGTATTTATGTTATCATGTACTTGCTGGTGGCTTTAGCCACTCTCTTTTCTAACATAAATTTATACTACTTGCTCATTTGCTTAGAAAAAAGATATTATCAATGGTGCCAAATAAAATTGTGAGTTAAAACACATGGGGTCCACAAAGTTGAAACACACTTTCTTTTGTATTTATGTTATCATATACTTGCCGGTGGCTTTGGCCACTCTCTTTTCTAACATAAATTTATGCCATCTGCTCATTTGCTCGGAAAAAAAGATATTATCAATGATACCAAATAAAAATGTGAGTAAAAACACTTGTTTATCAAATACTAACATTTAGACATGATGACATAAAATGTGCATTACATAATTAAGTAGTTATGATCTTATGAAATACCCAATCATTAATTCTAAAATCAAAATTAGAAAATATGATTGTTAGATTTATTCAATAATTGAGTATAAATTAGTTAGAGGCACCATCTATAATAATATAAAAAAATACAAATATGAAACTATTACCACCTGATTCAGCTAAAATCTGCACTAACACAATAATAATAATAATATTATGAAATTATTGTCCACTATATTTTATCATTTGCTTATTTAACTTTCCAAATTTTAAACTTCTATGTTGTTCAATTTAATTCTAAATTGTTTAACTATTACAATTGAGAAATGACCCATTAGAGTGTTTTTGTGTGTTTTAAGAATCAAAATCAAACCAATCTATACGTGAATGGAACCAAATTGGTCGGTTCTATTCAATTCATATCTTCTCTTCTAATATTTTTTTCACACCCATAATAATTGAAATTGACTCCAGCTGTTTCAACATATACGATAAAGAGTAAAAAGTTCACCAATTAGATGTGTAGATAATAATGCAGCAGTAGAAAAAGTTGGCATAAGATAATGCGGTTAGAAGATTTTGAAAGATATTTGCCATGCAATTCTCAACAAGAATAAATAAAAAAAAATGAGGTTGCATAAAACGAGCGTCAAATAGTTCGAGTAAGTCTAATGATGATGACGTAATTTTTATTTAATTTGGGTTTGAATTGTGTAGTTAGGCCACAACTGCATGTATATATTTGTATAGATTTTAGGGACTTCAACTATTTACCTGCTAAAAAGAGGCATCTTTAATGTTTTGCAAGCTCAATACAAACTTCCACAGAAATCATTGCCTGTCTTTAATTGTGATACGTGTTATCTTTTTTCCTTATTATGCACTGTGTTTTACAGGCCAATGGATGTATGTGTTTCTAAGTGGTTTTCCTCATTTGGCTACTTATGCATCCAATTTCTGGCACAGGTTGAAGGTTTGGAAGTTAATCTTACTATAAGATTGGAAAACAAAAAAGGGACTCTGGCATTGAATGTTACACAATGCGGTTGCTACATGGAAGATATAAACATTACATTGGATGGAGGAGTTTCTTGGTTGTACCAAGGGTATGTCATCTAGTAGGTTCTTGTAAATCCTTAAAAATAAATATGCTTATATGGTTTAATAGCATTATGTAAATTTATTGTTTAAAGAGTTGTTCAAACCATTGCTTGAATTGGAATAAAAGTGCGTACCCATTATTCACCAGATGGAATATATATTAGGAAATTCTAGTTTTACAAACTATAGCTATATTTTGAAGATAATAAATGATCATCCACATGCTCGCATGAACAGTGGCACAAAGGGGGATAGGATTTCTATTAAGGATTCATGTATGAAATCCTATGGGAATGCCTCATCATGCAACATGTGATTTGTTTCGCATCAGGATTTTTTGCATTTATTGCACGACTCTTTGATAAATTTAGATGCTTATCCTTGGATGCAAGAAAAAAAAATAATTTTTTTTACTTGACCTTTCATAGAAACTAAGTATTGCATGTACACAACTCTTGATGCAGATATGTCTATATGTCACATCATGTAACGTGACTGTATAATTTCCATAAAGGACTTTTCCCCCATAATGTTGCGTGCTTAATATTAATTATCTCGTGTTTTCCTTGCCTATTGTATCATGAGTGTGCTTATATTGACTGATAATCATATGACGTGGATAGATAAATTACATCAGAAGTTTAAGAAACAAGGTGCATTCTACTTTTGTCTCTTCTGTTTTAGGTACCAATCATTAGCACTTGTGCTCTAATAGGGGGGCATATTTAAATGTATATAATTATATTTATGTTTGCATTTTGCACTACACATTCTATGATGATTAGGTAAAAATTGATTGAATAGTAAGACTAATCTGTATTGATTTCATCTATTGTGAAGGAGATGGTCTAGTGTTTATCTTAATTATAACACAATCAAATAGTATAACATATAGACTTTTGATATGAAATAAAGAATTTTTTTACAGAAATTAGGGCAGATAAATATTTTATTGCAAGAACTCTAAACAATACACTCAAATGCATAAAAGATAAGCACCTAAAGTTCAAGAGGTAGACGGTCTCTCCCAAACTCTAATCCTAACACATATATTTTGAGAGGCATCGATCTCTCCCAAACCCTAACCCTATGACTCAAGATAACAATCTCATCATCCCCTAATCCTAATCTACCAAGCTATTTTTATACCAAATAATAATAACAAATAAATGACTAAATTGTGCGTGAGGCGGTTGTGCAACATTTCTCCCCTCCCAAAAAGACACCCTATCGTCGAGGTGGGAAAAAAATTAAACAGCTGTTGGATTAAGTCGTATAACTCTCACTCATAAACTTAGTATGACTCTCATAGTCAGCACTTGATTGAAATAAGTGATGAATAGTTGACACTGCATGAGGGCTGCGCCTAATCCATAGCTTGAAGAATGTCTTTACAATGAAAGGTTGGCTAAAATCCAGTAACGTCCGCATTGATATACTTGTCATGGCCTTCTTTAATTTCTTAAAAGTATGTGTTATCATCATCTCTCACTAAAAGTTATCATTCTTTCGTTTCTTCATCAACGACCACACAATTCATATCCTGGAAGTCCCACAAATCTTGTCAACCCCTTCAAAGTCTCTGGCAGTGACCACTTCAATATAGTTGTCACATTTGATGGGTCCACCGACATCATGGCCTTGCACATACTATGGTCACTGTGAAGCAACCCCATCTTATCTTTTTTTTCTGAATACTTTGCAGTGTCAAAATCAGTTCCATACAAACTCCCCTGCTTGTCTCTATATGCCCATTCTCATCATTACTCGTGAATCGTCTTCCGCCTGGAAGGCTTTTACTAAAGCACTGACACAGTTGGATGCAGTCTTCTGTCAGTGTCCCATCCACCGTAATTTCCTGTTCATGGCAAAAATTCAAATCCATTTTCTTTAGTCCCAAATCATAGTTCGCCCCATACGGTCTGCTGCCACTCATTCCAAACCTCCAGATGTTCCCGCTTGAATTTGCTCCCGACCCCTTCACTAGATCCTGCCTGTTTTTGTTTGTTCCAACTTTCCAAATGTCGTGCTATTTTTTCCAAGTGTTTTTTGCTCGCATTCGTACCTGTTGTTTTTACTCGATTCCGTGGCAGGCAGTTTTGTGTGAAATTTCTTCATCATTTCTTCCAGGGTCGTGAATCTCTTCTCAATCCCCCCCTCCATAGATGAGAGTCGTTCCTCCATGAACAAGGAACATTTCTCTGCTTCGGATCCGGGGTGTCTCATCTCTCCCTTTAATTTCTCCTTCAAGACATCCACTTTCTAAGCTGCTGTTACTCCCAAAAAAAATTTTGATCACAAAGATGAAATTATTGTATCCTGAAATCTCGTTGTTGGCTTATCAGATCGCCCAAGTCGGGACTATCAATTTTGTATGGCCTCGATCCAGTCATTTACTCCTGGCCAACTAGGTCAAATCACAATAGTTTACTTCATCGAGCCCCCGTCTACTCACGACTATATCATGAACTGTGATCCAGTCGTTGATCGCGATCTCGTATTTGTTTCCTTGCTAGCTTGAGTGCAACTGTATTACACTGCGATCCCATTGTTTACTTCCTTGCACTATATTGCAAATTTTGGTTTTGTATGCCCCGATCCCATTTTTGCTTCCCACCTAGGTCGAGTGCGACTGTATTGCACCACAATTCTCTTGTTTGCTTCCCAGCTAGCTCGATCGTGACCGTTTCACGATATTCAATTAAGATGGAACTCTGTAAGCCGTGATTCCATCTTTGATCCCAAAATTGATTGCTTTGATACGAATTAGATGAATTTTTTACAAAAATTAAGGCAAACAAAATATTTTATTGCAAAAACTCCAAATAACACTCAATTTGTGAGGTAGGGGATCTCTCCCAAACCCTAACCATACCACCTACAATTTGAGAAGTAGGTGATCTATCCCAAACTCTAACCGTAAGACTGAAGAGAACGGTCTCATCATCCCCTAACCCTAACCTATTAAGCCCTATTTATACCAAAAAATAGTAAATAACAAAAGTTTAAATTGCCTGTAAACACTGGTGTAACAACTTTTCACTAAGAAGATGGTATCAATATTGATTTTTGTAAAATCTTAAAGCGGGGACATGACTTATGGTGTAAGGCCTTTTTTGGAATGTCACATTCACAAAATATGCATTACTACATAATTGGTATATTTAATTTGGTTAGTAGTCAATATTATTTTTATTCACTTTTAACAGGAATTCAAATTCCAATTTCTTTGTATTCAAAGTCCATGTTTCATTTACATAATTTCATGCACTTGTCATTATTTAAGTCAACTGTTTTTTCCATCGCATCATCTTAATTTGGTTTTTTTAATCAAAAGCCCATATTGCCCAACAAAACATCTAGAAGTCTCTAGTTGCGTTAAAGCATCTTTAGAGGTTGTGTGGTTACAAATATTCTGATTTTAAAGGAAAAAAAAAATAGTCCATTTTGAACGCCAAAAATTGTTTGGTTGAATATAATTATTTTTAGTTTTGATTGGGTGCAAATAAATTTAAAATATGTGATAAGGTTTTCTCTTTAACTAATATATATCATTTTCTTAAACTCCAATTAGGACGCAAAGCATCACAATTAATTAATATTCTAATGAATAAAAAAAATACTCAATTGTAAGATATAATGCCTGATTGGAAGACAACACAAGCGACGCCAGGATCAGGAGGGGAGGCTCGGGCTCCCAGGCGCGCGGATCCTATGAAGGTGGCGCCTAAGTGCTAACTTTGGGCACCCCTTTGCCTAGATCCAATAAGGGTGATGCTCACGTGTCCATTTGGAGTGCGACAACGCTTAGATTCGTGACTTCAACCCAAGCGAGCCGAAAGGTCGCGCCCCAGATTCGTGACTTCAACCCGAGGAAGCGGAAAGGCAACGCCCACGAGCGGCACATAGGCACCAAGAGCAGTTTGTACACTGTCAGGAATTTAAACCTTTTTTTCACGAAGAACTCTCTCAAGCATGGGGTGAACTTTCGAAGGGCTTTCTACAAGAGCGGTAAGCTCGAGAGCCGGATTTCAGAGTGTGTTTTCTCTTTTTTTATCAAGAGAGGATTTGGAACGGAATAATTGTTATTTTTAGTGTTTTTTAGAGAGAAGATATGAGTGGTGAATTTAAGTACATTTCTTTTTCTTAGTGAAATTTTGATGTGGTGTGACTCTGTGATTTTTCTCATTCTCGGATTTTTCCATGTTAAATCTTGATATGTTTTGTGATTACTTTGCTGTATGTTTCTTTATTCCAGAATTTTCAAATCGATGTCATCCCTTTTTTTTGCGGTGTGGTTTTGATTAAAATCAACAAAAGTCCTTGGTATTCCCATTCCAACAAATGCTATCAGAGCTGGGTTTTTTTTTCTTGAAGGCTTTTTGATTCGCGTGGGGACAATGACTGATGAAGTGAGGTACATGGTGAAGTTCACTAGATCAAACTTTGCATTTTGGAGAATATAAGTGAAAGATCAGTTGTATAAAAAAACATATATATTAGTCACTACAAGGAGTCACCAAGAAGTTTGAACTGATGACTCTGTAAGAATGTTAAGTTATGGATTGAACAAACATAGGTTGCATCCGTCTTTCACTTTTCTTGTATGTTGCGTTTAATATAATGAATAAAAAAATCTTGTTGGATTAAATGGCGACACTGGCAAGGATGTATAAGAAATTTTTTATTTCAAATAAGATTTTTTTTATGAGGAGCTTATTCAATATAAAGATGGTGGAAGTCAATTCGATGACTGAATCAACAATTTCAATATTGACCAGCCAGTTGTACTTTGTGGGAATCAAATTTGATGATGATATCAGAGCACTGTTAATTTTGTCTATTGGCGGATGGCTGGGATGGATTGGTTAGATATATGAGTAACTCTTCAAGTTATGTGAAGTCGAACTTCAATGACATTGTGAGGTTAGTGTTGAATGAAGAAGTTTACAGAAATGCAGTGAATGGTGAATTTTCACGTTCTACTTTGAATGTTAAAAACAAG